ATGGAGATAACTCACAGAATTAACATGGTTTTAATAAGACTGTATAAAACAAATGTGAAAATTATAAATGTTCACAATATAAAAAATACCAGCTTTGAATAGACTACTCCTGTGTCAACTGGATTCTACTTGAAGTCCACAATAGATAGGCAAATAGACAGATAAATTATATTAAAATATATGTCCTTTTATTGCCTTAAAAATATTTTAACACAATGTATTTTGAAACAGCATCATAGACAAATTGAGTCAACATGTAATAAACAATAACATGACAAGTTTTGTTTTTTTTTACATTCTTGAGAGCCAAGAGATGAACTGCCCTCAGGTTCAGAAAATCAATAGCAGTTATCAACTCTACTCACAAACATATTATCATAATTGGCCATACCCAAAATTCTGACTTAAGGACAATGACCAATTAACTTTAACAGTATTTTTTTCTAATTTTATTTCTTATCTAGGTAGCTGAATACACACCATAGATATAAGAGATAATATAAACACTAACAAAATTCTTTTCTCAATTTGTATGTATTTCAAGGGTACTGGTAAAAAAATACTCTCCAGAATAGATATGAAGGTTATAGAACACCAAAGTTAATAGCAGTTTTAAGGAATTCTTCTAATTGGTAATAAATTTTTCTTCTTCTAACTGCCTCATGTTCTGCAAGGTTTATCTTCAAGTTAAAACTTGTAGTTCATTCAGTGAAGCTGATCCATTAAATTAAAAACTATGCCAAGCCTTTAAAATGTGTCATTAGAAAGAAATGTAATTTAGCTACATCTATTAGTTTTCTTGTTATTCATTCATATTTCATCTCTTAAGCATTTGGTAACTGTGTAGGGGACTATTTTTTTTTTTCAAAATCAATAGATCTGATAAATTTAGATAAAACACTGGAAATTTGTTTTTTCAATATATTTATTCAATTACCTGGACAAACAACTAGCCATGCAATTTTTCTACAGATTGTGAACCAAACTATCTTTGTAAGATGCTAGGATAAAGAGTATCATACTAGATTTATGATGCGGCAGAAGCAAAAGCTATAAGATCTTAAAATGTGAAACACTAGAGAAATTTTTGCATTTGTCCATTTGGAAAATACAGTCTTACCTTTTGGTTCTTGCACAATGAGATGCGTACATTCATTCATTTTCAGTTGTCCCATGTATTGACCTCCATGCTTAACTGTGAGTTGCTGAACTGACTTCCTGTCTGAGCCACACAAGCCAGTCACACAGATTATGCAACCAAGAAAAATAGGACACTTGAAATCTTTCATGTCTATATCAGTATATCTAGCTATTTTTCTGGGGAAAACAAATGATAAAAAGGAAAAAAAAACATATTAAATATACCAGCTAGTTTAAAAATATCACTAATGCTTCTCTCATTTTTTAGAATTTTAATTGTTTTTAAGAAAAGGGGAACTGATAGACACACAGATCAGCTCAGCACCATGTCTCTAGTAAAAAGTAATGTTTCAGATAGTCTCTCAAAACTGTTTTAAGGGAAAATATTTCATTTATTTTAAGTCCATGCTGGTCAAAGTAGTATATTTTCCAAAATTTTAAGTCTGAATCTCCACTTAAAAACTCAAAGGTTCTTTGGTTGCCTACTAGAAAAATGGACTTTTTATTCTTCCATTATACTATATAAATAAGCAGTGATTTGGGGCAGAATACCAACAATAAAATCATGTATTCATGCTACACAGGTGTGCTAATGAAAGGGGCTGGGAGTGAGGGTGCCAATATAGAGACATGTTCAGGATGTGCTGGATGGTGTCGAAAGACTGGGAAAATGCCCGTTTAATTCCAACAGTGGTACTTGGGATTTAGGGTTGTTAATCAAATTTTAGGGGGAAACTCACTTCTGTGCCTTGAAATAGGCTCCAAGCTCCATGAGGGAAGAGATGCTGTGCCATTTTGCTCACTATATATATATACCTACTGCCTAGCTTAGGCCAGATACATAAAATGGGCTCAATTAACATTTATTGAATGATCACATCCTAGTTAATGGTTTACACGTTTTTATTCAGTCTTATATATACTCACTTTGGGAGGGACTACAACTGCCAAAATGGCTAATTTATTCTCCATCTTAACATATGGGCACAGTACTGAAGGATAAAGCAAGTTAAGAATTACAGCTGCCACACTGATTTTTCTCAACTATTTTACGTTTACTGCTGAAAACAATTTTATTATCGAAGCATTTCTTACCTTGTAGCTAACACTAAGCTCATAGCCCATTCCACCTATCAACTTCTATCCTGATAACAGCTTCCAGATTCTGCTCTTTTGTTTTTATTGGAATAAAGAGCACTGATCCTATTTTTGTCCCTGAATAACAAATCCAGAGAAGATACCATAAAACCTTCCCCATGAAAACCCACAATGAGCCAAAATTACTGAATGTATCATTTTTCAAATCTAGGCAGTATCTAAATGTCTTTCTTACCTCTCTTGTGACTTCTCCCAAAGTGTTTTTATCCAAGAAGGAAGCAAAATAGGTTTCTTTAGGTTTGCAGCAACTAAATACTTTTTGCTACCAACTTCTCCAGCAATGAGGTGAGTTACTGATATATTAAGGTCTCTGTATACACGTCCACCCATCATTTGTACATACTTATGAACTTCTTCCTATAGCTCCCAAAGAAAATACATTATTAACAATAAAGCAAACAATCTTTCTTCTATTTTTATACAATATACCATAAATATCTTTTGTAGTTGTTAGCTTGAATGCACAAAGGTTTCTCACCACGATAAAGTTAAGTAATTAACCAAATTACTTTTTGCAAGTAAGATAAATATGAATTATAAATTTTAAAATAATTACCTTTACACATTATTTTCCTATGTCACTCTTTCAATGTCATGAAGTTATTAAACTGTTGCTTCTATATTTTAATAGTATACGAGTATTTTAAAATATGTAAATTATATGTATAACACACAAAATATATATTCTATATCTGTGTTAGAAAGGATTCTAACACAGATCTAAAGGATTTTAAAATATTAACCATCTATGGTGGAAAAACCTAAGTGATTCAAAAACAAACTCATTGATTATATAGAGAAAAAGTGAGTTTCCTTTTAAATCAAAACAAAAACTTCAATTAGCCAGTTTTCAATAAAACAGATTCCACTATATACAACTTATCAAAAAAATAAAAAAGACACACATTTGGTTTTTTTTTTTCCCTATGTGGGATGGTTGATCTTAAGCCTGCAGAGAGCAAGCAGGCCCCAGACTTCTCCAAGTCCATATTTCTCTGCCTCCAATTCTTACGTGTCCAAAGACAGGGAACCACAGACACGCCTTTGTAGGAGGGTAGACACACACTTTTATATACTGACTTTGTCATGAACACCAAGTGCAAAGTCTTTCAAAGTGTATTGTACACAGTGAAAAATTAAGATAAGAAATACAGATATGATCATGATATTCCTCAACACTTCAACACCTACCCTTTTGTCTTTTTCCAGGCTTGTACAAGATACAGTTACATCAGACATAACCATATTATAAACTGGATGTTCAGCTCTTGGGACACATCGCTGGTGTTGCATACAAAATATAACTACTTGAGGACCAACAATTCTGCAGCCAAGCTATAAAAAACAGAAAAAGTTTAGTAAGTAGTAATAGACCTCCAGTCTTATAAAATTATAATACATTTTGCAATATTTACCAATTCTTTATAGAAGTTGATGACCACTGTAGAAAAATCACCAAATTGTTATAAGAAACAAAAAAAGACACACTACATATTAAACACACAAACAAATCAAACAATGCAGGCTATCAAAATAAGCTCTAAGAGCCACACTCACTCAAAACTGCCATTGATAACTGAGTTAAGAAAGGTGACAGCCTGGCTCAACACCAGCACATTCAAGCCAGACTAAAAAGCCTACAGTTGTCAAAGTCACCATGGCATGACTGACTTTAGTATCTACAAGGTAAATGATTATTGCTATCTTCTTGGTCAGCCATTAAGAAAACTGAGTTTTGATGCTATTGATTCTATCTGATGAGCAGTGATTATTTCCAAAAAGGGGGTAAGACCAACAATACTTTTGGAAAAAGTGGGCACACCGTCCATAAATTGTACAGATACTTCATCCACCTAATCTTCTGTTTTCTTCTTCAAACAAGAATAAATTCTTTGTAATCTGGATGGAATTACAGCCAGTTTACTTTCATTTCGATGCTTCTCTTGTCCAAACACCAAAAAAAAGTAATGAGTCAGTAGACTCTAGAATCAACAAAAAAGAAATAGAAAGGCTCACTGATAATATAAGCAATACTCATCACCAAATGCTTCCTTTCAGCATATAATTTTTCAGACCCTACAAAAGGCACAGGCATTAAAATTCTGTGTCCAAGAGCACGTAGGAAAGACAATAAGTAATGAAGCACATTGTTGAGGTCTTTTCCTACTCTTCATTATTTCTCCCTGAAATGTCCTGCAATCTCACTTAGTTTAAGTACAGAACTCCATCACTAAAATGCTTCATTACTACGGGGTTCACTTACACTAAGTTAAATCCCCCGAACTATAAAAATTACATAAAACAAAAGCCTATTATAACATAATTAGCCTTTTAAAATATTCTAGTCTCCCAAAACCAAAGGATTCCTCTGTATTCATAATTTGCATACTTCATGATCAGTAAAGAACTTATGTCCACCAAAGCAACAACAAACCAAAAAACAGACTACTGAAGGAACATACTAGAAGTTAGCAAACCTTTTTGAGGTGATCAAAGACAGCACCACTAAAAGGGTCACAGATATAAAGTGATCTATCATTCTCCTTTATCTTCAATGCTTCTTCTTCTGTAATAATCTGAAGATAGTCTTCTGATTGGAACTCTTTTATTGACTGAAAGAAAAAAAATGAAACAAGATTGCACCTAAAATTAGTCACCTGTATTTAAGTCCTATGAACTCTGTCTTCAAAATCTATCTCAAATCCAGCCTTTTTCCTATTGGAAGTTACCATCACTTCTCACTTAAACCTCTGCAGAAGCCTCTAAAGTGGTTCCTTCTGTCTCCTCTGCCCTAAATCTATTCTCCACACCTAGCAATCTTTTTAACAAAATAAATCAGGTCATGCCACTCTCTGCTCAATACCTCCAATGGCTTCCCAGCACACTCAGAAGAAAATCCACATTTCTTATGATGGCCTACAAGACCAGAGAGTCTGGCCCCCATTTCCCCACCCGTACCTTCTACTTCTCACCCCTCTTGCTTCCTTATATCTAGCTACTGCTTTCTTGTTAGGACTGGAATAAGCTAAGCATGACCTCATTTAGAGCCTTTGCTCTTGTCCCCACTGCCTGGAATACTCTTCTCCCAGGTCTTCACCTGACTTGATCCCTCATTTCAATCAGACCTGTTCAAATGTCACCTCCTCAGAAAGACCTTTTCTGATCATGCTTTCTAAAATGCCCTTTCCCTATCCCTCCAGTTTATGCAATGAAGAAAAATAATATGGGTATTATGTACATATAATTTTGTCTCTCTCCCTTATAAGAAAGTTTCTTGATCTTGTTTACCACTATATGTTGGCACCCAGTAAGCACTCAAATATTTTCTGCACAAAATCTTAAGTCCTTATGCTAAATACTTAGAATGATCCTTTTAAAATGATTAAGTCAGATCATATTACTCTTCTGATTAAAACCCCACAGTGGCTCTCCACCTCACTGAAAGAAAAAGCCAAAGTCCTTACAATTGCCCACAAGGCCCTACATGACCTCTTCACTCTTATTCTCTGAAGCATCCCTTAATCTTCCTCCATCCCTTGCTCACTACATTACAGCCACACTAATGTTGGACAGACACTCCAAGCACTTTCCCAGGGGCCTCTGTCCTTTTGCTGAAATCTTCTTCCTCGGATATCCATAGCGCTATCTCATCTCCTTCAAGTATACTCGAATATTCATAAAACTTACCCCGATCACACACTATTTTAAAATTATGATTTTTCCTTCTCCCTCCTCCCCAACAAACATCCTCCAAATCCCTTAACCTGTTTTGTTCTTATCTCTTCCTATCGCACTTAGCACACTGTAACATATGATACAGTTTATTCATTTATCATTCTGATTAATGTCTATTTTTTCCTGCTAGAATAGAATGTAAACTCTGAGAAAGTAGGAATCTTTGCCGGCTCTGATCATTGAGGTATCCCAAGTACTACAACAGTGCTTATCAAATCATGGACACTCGATAATTATTTGCTGAATGAGTGAACTTTAAAGAAAAAGCTGCTACAATAGAGCTTCTTAGACTTTGATGTACACAGGGATCACACTGAGGATCTTGTTGAAATGCAGGTTCTAATTGGTAAGCATGAGTTGGGGCCCAAGGTTCTGCATTTATAACAAACTCTTAAGCCATGCTGATGCTGCTGGGGTCTGTGAGCAGCAGGTCTCCACGTTACCCCTACATCCGCCCATATTACACTGTACGTATGAAACACACTTTTTAACAAATAACCAAAAACAATGAAGTGGGACCAGTACATGACCGACTCAAAAATTTTCCAACACACAAAGGTGTACTCTGGTTACTAGACAAAAGAAAGCAACTTAACTTCCAAAAACAGCAGGTCTGTCACTTTCAATAGGAATGTCATAGATTTGATGTACTTATATAATCATATATCTATATTAATGTAGACTACACTGAAACTACATATTATGAAAATAATTATTACTAAGACATAAAAACCTAATAAGTCAAAATCACTAAAATCAAGAAAAAGAATTCAGAGGACCAAACAGGATGTTTTCAATTGTTCTTACCTCAAGAGCTTTAAGAAAACATTCGGAATTATCTGAAGACTTCAAAAACTTCACAAAAAACGGTTCTTTGTCATTTTTGGACATTTTTGAACTGTCAAAATAAAGGAACCATTAACAGAAACAAAAGCACATTATGTATGCAGTTAAATGCTTCAAGCACCTGTTTTTCTGTGCAGACAGGAATGCCTAAGGATAGCCGTTTTGGCCTTGTCCACGTATTCAGCCATCTCCTTTGTAAGAAACGCTGCAATGTGGGCAAACTCAAGGAAAAATATGACAACACCAATCGTTGCAAATCAGAGAACGAAATCAACGTCCCTAAATTGAATACATGTGAGGACCCTCGCTATGGGGGGGGGGGGCTCTAAGTCCCCTAAGCCACTGAACCTTCAATTGCACTTAGCTTAAGGTTACACAGAATGAATCTGTCCCTGCGGGTACCCATAGCCCTGGAGGTCTGTTCACCCCTCACTAAATAAACTTTAAATATAAACATATACGGCAGGTAGCAATGTCATGCCCCCTAACAAGACGGGACGCTCTTGCTCCCCAGCTCTAGGGAAAGGCCCGGCCCCCGGCCCAGTCGCAGCCGCGTCCTCCCTGGCGTTCGAGTTCCACCGGCCGGTTACAAGGGCAGGGAGCGAGGGTCCCGAGGGCCAGAGGAGGCGTCGCGACCCCCCAGCGGGGGTGGGAAAGGGGCAGGGTCCTCTTTCCGCGCCTCACTCACCTCGATGGAGCCCGGGGGTCTCGGGGCGGCGAGTGGCTGCGGTCGGGCGCCAGCCCGGCGCACACCCGCCGCACCCGGCGGAGCCCCCGGCCCGAAACAAACGCAGAACCCGGAAATAGCAAGGCCCGGAACCGACTTTCGCGCCAACCGCGCGGACACGCAAGCCTCTTCTGGCGGAAGTGACATCGTGCGCAGCCGCGGGAGGAGGGTGGAGCTGTCAAAAGCGGTGGTGAGTGGCAGAGAGGCGCCTTGCTCAGGGGGCCGTGGGGTTGCGGGTGGGCTTCGGCCGGTAACCTGGGCTTGGGGCTCCGAAGGGCGGGCCCAGGCTCCGCGGGGAGCTGGCCCAGCGCCCACAGCGCAGGGGTTGGGGCCGCAGGCCAGGAGCACCTCCGAGGAGGTCCTAACATTTGGAAAAAGAAAGTCGGGGAAAAGAGAGTTCTCTCAAGAAATAGTTGATACCTGCTGTAGGCCAGGCAGTGTGAGAGACACCGTTTATTATCATCCAAAACAACTCTGTGAGGCAAATAGTATCTCTGTTTTAGGGATGTGAAAGCTGAGGCTTACAGACATTAAATGATGTGTCCAAGGCCACACACAGCAAGTGATGGAATGAAGATGTTAGCCAAGCCTTTTCGACTTGTGGACGAAAATGGGGCTCTGCGGAAGGTAACCTCCCAGGGTGATCTGATCAGGAGTTCCTAACTGGGCAGGTCATGATGGGTAGTCAAGCCCCAGGCATATAACTTTAGTAAAAGGTTTATCTTTGCCTTAAGGAAGCCCTGTCCGTTGTTTTTGTGCACCTAAGTTAACACACCTTTGAAATGCCCCCTTTCAGACCCCTCCTTCTAAAGTGTGAATCTTAATTATCCTGTAATGCAGCGGTTCTCAGCCTGTGGGTCGCGACCCCTTTGGGGGTCGAACGACCCTTTTCGAACGACCCTTTCACAGGGGTCGCCTAAGACCATCGGAAAACAAAAAGATACTTACATTACCATTCATAACAGTAGCAAAATTACAGTTATAGAGTAGCAACGAAAATAATTCTATGGTTGGGGGTCACCACATCATGAGGGACTGTATTAAGGGGTTGCGGCGTTAGGAAGGTTGAGAACCGCTGCTAATGGGATCCTGAATTGCCTTGCTTTCTCCCACCTTCATTTAAATCTTCCTTACTTCTCTCCTTCATCTCAAATGCATAAAAGAAATTGCAAATGTATTCTTGAAGACTTATCTCAGTCTGTTGAGATCTTGCTTCCAGGTGTATCTGTTTGGCTCAAGACAAGTTTTTATAAAAATTCTCTACAGGTTTGGACATTTTTAACACCCACAGACTCCACGGACTGGGTTCTTTACCCTCTAATATAGCAAGAGTATAGTCCTTGCCTACCATAGTCAAGAATGCTGTGAAGGGAAGAAAAATGTCAGGATGACTCAAAGTACACGCCTAATGCAAGGGGTCTTTGCTAAGATCTTCAGTGGTCTTCCCCCACTCTTCAGCCCTCAATGAGCATATCATTTTCTGTCTAACTCCCTGAATGTAGAAGAGATTCTGGGATGTTAACTAATACTCAAAAGGCAAAGATCTGAGGAAGGGGAGGTAAAGTCGGACTACAGAACCTTGGCTTATTCATAACCAGTGACAGACTGCTTAGATAGTGTTTTTTATTTTATTCTTGACCCTTGAGATTGAGAAGCTCATGAATTTGACCTGAATAATGTGACAATTTAACACCACATACTTCCATTGTTTTTATTTTTCTCTAAGCACCTGACGATGGCAATGAGCCGCTTGAGTCTAAGTGTGTGACTACACCCAAAGAAGGTGAGTCAGTACTGGGGCTCAAAGGTAAAGGCCCGGCCCATTGTTGGGGGCAGGGTGAGGAGAGCCTTAAAAATAAACAAAAATTACTGGATTTGTGTAAAAAAAAAAAAGAGGATGCCACAGTTAATTGTGAAGAAGCAAATCTGTTATGAAACTAGTCATAATTACTATTTGTAGGGTACTTTACATTCCTGCTTGCACTGTTCCTGTTTACTCTTCCCAGCAGTCCTCTAGTATGTGGGCATCACTGTCCCAGGTTATGTAAATGGGAAAAGTAAGTCTCAGGGACTGCGTGACTTGAGCAGGGCCACATAGCCAGTAAGTGGCTGCACCTGGGCTTGAGAAGAGGCGGCGTGACTGGAAACCCCATGGTCTTCCTGACCAACCACACTGCTCCTTTTCACATCTCTGCATGAAGCTCAGCACCAGGGCAGGAGCCCATTCCTGACATAGCTGGGGCTCGGGGGAGGCCTCTTGATGGAAGGAGAGTCACAGATGTCACTAATGAAGATGTGAAAAAATGAAATCAATCCTTTAGCTTTTAGCCAGCTGGAGTTCAATGTCAGGGGAGTCGACGTCATCTTTAGAATACGAGACCAGGTGACAAGTTCTCCCATCTGTGTCTCCACACAGGCAGGCAGACAGGGTCTGTATCTGTCCCTGAAGGACCTAACCTTGGGCAGTAGCTAGAGCAGTGGTTCT